ATTTTCACTGCTAAGGGGGAGTACGCCCCCAGTGCAGACTTTTCCTTGCGTCGGGCGCCCTGCATGCAAACTTCGTCCAGGGACAGTTTGGTCCCCAAATGTTTGTAGCACTGCACTATGTCGAGCGCCACCGGTGACCCAATCCAGCGCCCAGCATCATCATTGAATTGCATACCATTGTCTCAAATACACGCTGAGAGCGCTGGCCGCGGAATCGAACCATAGCTTCCGTTTTCCCAGGGTTCCAATTTATCTGCAGATTCAGAGACGCGAAAATCTTCACGACTTGCCGCACTGCTTTGGGGATCGCCTCGGCTAGAACTCGAGCGTTGCGACCAACCACCACAATGCAATCATCGTCAACGAATGCGCAGCCTGACACGTCAGCGAAGTCAGCCGGCTTATCTTGTCCAACGCCCCAAAAGACATCGCCAGCCTTCCTCAATACCAACGTAATCCCGGCATCCTTGAGCGCAGCGTGCAAGGCCTTCAGGGCGATCGAATAGACCGAATTGAAGAGGATGGCTCCGACTTTGCAGCCCTGGCGCCCTCCAGTCTTCGGACAAACTACATCGGACGCCTCGCCGACGCCGAACCAGCTTCCACAATGCAAGCCACGCAACAGCGCGATTGTGTGATCAGAGACGCCCCAGGCCTTCAACAACGGCGGCTGGTCTCGCAAATATTTGAAAATATGCTGCGCCACTGCCTCTGTGAGTCCTAGTGCGCGCAAATGGTCCAGACGTTCTGAATCACTCTGAAATTCGTCGGGATAACCGAGGACCGATTCCCTTACGACTCGATCGAAAGCTTTGACAAGGTCAATAAACAATACGAATATAGACCACCCATTCTTCTCAGCCAGCGCGATGAGCGATTGCACCAAATGGGATGCGAAGTCTGTCCCCTTCTGCGCCACAGCCCCGAATTGCGTGGCCGGCATGTGGCTCTCGTACTCTGCGTTGAAGTCGTCTCGGATCCTCGAGACGAATGCCTAGCTGCTGTGGTCGGCCAGCAAGAGCCCGCGCCAATTGTCGCGAAGCTCTGCATCACCCTTGCCTTTGAAAAGGTTGACGTTGCGGCCTCCTCGCCATTGCCAGGGCCACTCGCTAGTGTTCCAAATCCTGTTCTCGATCTCATTCAGCTTGACGGCCACGGCGTCGCCGCCAGCCTGCAATACTTCAGCAGGCAAGGTATCTCCTCCCATGCCCTTGCCCCGGGCCAGCCGGGCAATGGCTCTTTTTGTGCACTCCGGTGACTGTGATAAGGAAAAGTCAAATCTCGCATCTTCGGGGCGCTTCCGAGGCAATTCAGAAAGCTGCACAACGTCGGCTTGAAACACGCGCTGATAGTGCTCCACCCACGCAGCGTCTCGTTCAGCGGCTGTAGAAGTGAGAGCGCCGTCATCACGACGAACACTGGCTCCAGGAGAGGGCGCCTTGCCGCTCAGGACTCTGACCAACTTGAAAGTACCGCGGAACCTGCCACAGACTGAATGCGAATTCAGCTCTTCGGCCTTACCCCAAAGGTAAAATGAGCGATCAACCATGCACAAGCACCTGAGTGAGGACTGCACCCAGTCAAGCATCTCTTTGAACTGGCCGATGAGGTGAACGAGACGTCGGTGCACAGCCAGAAGCTCACGACATAGCGCCTGAGCTTCCCACCCTCGGCGACAAAGAGGTCGCTGCACTGGGAAATCTCGATGCAATGACGCAGCCCATGCGGAGAAAATGATAGCTCGAGCGTTCTTTGTTTTGACCTGGACCATTGTCCCTGCCATCCGTCGCAGGGGCGCGTTCCACCGCATGAGACGCCACATGCGGCTCGTGATCCATGGTTTTCTCGGTGCATCGGCAGGCTTCCCGAATGCCAGGACCGCCGAACGGCGAAGATGGGCACTCAGCTGCTCCAAGTGTTCGTGTACTGTTGAATCCGACGGCGCAGTAAAACTCCATGCCAACTGCTGGAATGTCTGCTGGTATTGCGCGTCATCAAGTTTGAGACGGTTGAAGGCGCACCTGTGCAGAGCCCGCATCGTAGGCACAACCACTACCGAACCAGTCTCGGGACGCACCGACTCCGTGACATTTGGAGTCTTGGTCGCAACCACGTCCGGTCTTGAGAAAACCTCCACGTCGGCACAAATTGGCCGATGATCCCAAGACGAATTTATGGTTAGATCGATTGTGTCGTCAGTCCAAACCTTCCTCACATCATCAAGGCTTTCACAAGGTAAAACAACATAGTCGATTCTTGCCGTAGCTGATTTTGGAGATTTCCATGTCCAACCCGCCTCCCAAAACGTGTTCACAGCACACAGTTTCGCTTCATCCAGGGTGAGCCTGAATAGCGTACCATTTTCGTTTTCCTTTTGCACCTCCTTCAACCCAATGGCCTTGGAGGTGATGCTCCCGACACGGGCGTTCGCGTCGATAAGGATCACAACGAACGCATTCAAGTGCATATTCATATTCTTGTCAACGATTTTGAGCAACATGTCCCAAAAGAAGTTCTTCTCCTGCACCTTCGCCAAGTTATGAAGCGAATGCGCAGCGACAACCACAATCTTCCTCTGGATGTCCAGGAGGGTGCCAACCAAGAACTATACGAGGTGATGGCGCCTCCCACGTATCCGTCACAAGCTTCACGCGATGGCTTACCCACAGCTGCGTACCCTGAGCTCCAGACAGACATGCGGCGGCACAACGCATTTGATAATAAGTTCCCAGACGAGTGTGAGATACCCTAGCTCGTCCCTCTTGCACTCCCACAAAATGAATTCGTGCTTCATCGAACTGCATCTCCAACAGCGCGACTTTGCTCATGAGCGTGGCTCCCACCACACCTGCATAAGACCGAATTTCTTGCCTCGGGCTTAATGTTTGGACGCTGGCCGAGGCAATTCCTAGAATTATTACTCCTTCCCCGGCTCGTCCGCTGGCACAGGAAACCCCGAAGCATCTTTTGTCTGCCCCGGCGGAGACTTCTTCCCCGTAACACGCCTCTGGGTAGCTTTGTCGACGTCCTCGACACCTGTCATAGGCGAGACCTGGTAAGTATCGGAAGTCACCTGAGAAGTGGTAGTTCCAGCGGCCGCGATCTGAGCGGCTTCCTGTGCTTGTTGAGCAATGGTCTGCAAGCCTGTCATCACCCTGTTCAACTCCTTCTGGGCGGCCTCCACCGACTCTTTCGGCACGAGTGGGGACGCCTTCATGTCCTCCATCACTCGCTGAAGCGACTGGGCCGTGGCCTCGAGCGAGTTGGCCGGCGAGCTGTGGTCCGGGGGCTGGCGGGCGATCTGGGCCTCCAGGCTTTCCATCTCGCTCCGCAAACTCGCCACATCGCGCTCGGCCTCGTGAAGAGCACCTGTGGCCTTGAGTACTGCTTCTTGGCAGGTCTCCGCCCGCCGCTCCGCACGCTCGAAAGCTGATCGACACGTTTCGAGTCGGATCCCCAGGGGCTTGGAGAGCGTGATGCTGTGCTTCACCGCTGCAATCTTGTTCATCAGATGGTCGCGGGTCTCCTGGAAGGCCTCTCCATGCGGTACGCTCTGAAGTAGCATCTCCAGGCTCTTGATCTGCGTCCCCTTGTCCTCGTTCGAGGCCGTAGTAGGAGGCGATGCGGCCGGAGCGGGCGGCTCCGAGCCACCTGCAAGCAAGCGGTCCACCTCCACGAGCTTCTCGTGGACAGAATGGCGGGGGCATTGCCCATGCTGCGGTGCCACGGCTTGGGCCCAAGACTTCTTGAGGCCACACGCGTGGCATGCCTTCTGGGGCGCCTTCGTCCACCATTGGCAGTTCTTGCACTGCCACCATTCTTCCTTCTTGGACCACGCCCCAAACGAGGGCGCCCAAGAAGAAGCCCACCATGCGGACGGGGATGCCGCATGCCATGTTATACTGTGCTTGGCAATCGGTCGAAGTCGGTGCGGTAGCAAGGGCCACCTCACAAGCGTAGGCTTACGCTCTGGCTTCAGGTCAAAATACTCTTTGACTTGAGCCAAGATGGATACGGAATGGTCTAATGTGAGTCCGCCGTGTGTACCCACTGTGCTGGGCCCCCCAGCAGGCCTCGAAAGTGGCAACAGTTTCACAGATCGCAACCCCCCAGGGATGGCGAGGTCCAATTTGAATCCGCCGTGTGTACCCACCGCGCTGGGCCCCCCAGCAGGCCTCGAAAGTGGCGACAGTTTCACAGATCGCAGCCCCCCAGGGATGGCGAGGTCCCATTTGAGTCCGCCGTGTGTACCCACTGCGCTGGGCCCCCCAGCAGGCCTCGAAAGTGGCGACAGCTTCACAGATCGCAGCCCCCCAGGGATGGCGAGGTCCAATTTGAATCCGCAGTGTGTACCCACTGTGCTGGGCCCCCCAGCAGGCCTCGAAAGTGGCGACAGTTTCACAGAGCGCAGCCCCCCAGGGATGGCGAGGTCCCATTTGAGTCCGCCGTGGATACCCACTGTGCTGGGCCCCCCAGCAGGCCTCGAAAGTGGCGACCGTTTCACAGATCGCAGCCCCCCAGGGATGGCGAGGTCCCATGTGAGTCCGCCGTGAGTACCCACTGTGCTGGGCCCCCCAGCAGGCCTCGAAAGTGGCGACAGTTTCACAGATCGCAGCCCCCCAAGGATGGCGAGGTCCCATTTGAGTCCGCCGTGAGTACCCACTGTGTTGGGCCCCCCAGCAGGCCTCGAAAGTGGCGACAGTTTCACAGATCGCAGCCCCCCAGGGATGGCGAGGTCCTATCTGAGTCCGCCGTGAGTACCCACTGTGCTGGGCCCCCCAGCAGGCCTCGAAAGTGGCGACAGTTTCACAAATCGCAGCCCCCCAGCTGGCACGCAGCGACGAGCGAGGCAAAAGGCAGGGGGGAAGAGAGGGACGGGAGGGGGTGGGAAGGAGACGCGCGAGCAGTGCTCTATTCAAAACAAGAACCCAACGCAGGAGGGTTGGGAATTAGGCGATTGAAAGAGAGTCGATTTGACCCGCGCGCACCAAGCCGCCAGTTCGAAACGGCTGGCGAAGAAGATGCCAGGTCTTGTTCAAGCTATACCTGGCAGGCGCACGCGCGAGATTCATGAACACGCGCGCACCGTGGGAGCCAGCCTCGGGGGCCCGAGGGGAAGCCGAGCGGACACTAGCCGAGCACCGTGCACTCTTGGGGAAGCCGAGCGGACACTTTGAGGCCCCCGAGGCCGCACACAGCACAGACAACGCACCACATGCCAATGTCGAGCTGCAAAGCACGCGCGACACGCCTTCTCCCCCCCGCCGCGGTCACCCGCACACGCGCAGCATTGGCGCGCAGGAGGGGGCGAGGGGCGGGGGCGGGAAGAGGAGGTTCCACCATGAGCACGGGCTGTTCAAGGGGCGGTCTAACCCGTCTCTGCTCAGGCGACGCATGCCCACAACCAAAATTGGCGAAACAAGCTCCCACCCCAGCCACCCACCCGCCAAAGTCAGCCACGGTTTTGGCCTGGTTATTATATAATATAGTTTCTTTTACTTTTATATATATATATATATATATATATATATATATATATATCAGGACTGGTCAACCTGACCTCTCGACGCTGACCACAGGGCCCACGAATATGCCCCATCGTTGTCTGCATCCTCAAAAAGCACTGCCGGGGCCGAGCTGAACCCTGGCCAGCCCGCAATGCCCCTTGGCTTTCCTGAGACGCACCTCACCACTCAGACCATGCACTGCGGGAGCTGCAACACTCTCTTTCTCCTCGGTAGCGCAGACCATGACACGCGAAGGACGAGGCAGCGCACGGCGTGGAGCCTAGACATGCGCGCTGCAGCGCACGGTGCAACGCAGACAGCTCAGCGCAATCTCCATCCTGACACAGCTCGCGCACCGTGCCAAAAATGACGAGTCGCACTCTGTGGGAAGAGGGGCAGAGCGAGACGATGACCCACGCCACGGCCTGCACGCGGG